ACTGGCCCCGGGCCCGAGGGTGTGCCCGTCGGAAACGCCAGGTTTTTGTGGACACTCGATTTTAGGGACGGGATGGAGTTATAGCTAGTGGGTTTGGGACAGATGCAGCTGCACCAGAATGATCTTGTATGATCTTCACAGCCTTGTGAGGTAGGTGCTAACCCAGAGGATTTTGTAAATAAGGAACCTCGGGCTTCACGAGGTTAACTGGCAGAAGTCACCAAGCTAGGAAGTGGCCAGCGTTTAAAGGCAAAACTACAGAGCCTGATGTGTCACGAGCCGTTTCGGTTCTTGACTAAAGATACCCAGATAACCAAAATTTATTGAAGTGATAAACTAGTGAGTATTCTTAATGACTAGGACCCTTGATACATTTTCTTTTGTGGGGGGAGGATGGGTTTTTGTTTGGTTGCTCTCATTTGTTTGTTTGTTTATTTATTTATTTATTTATTTATTTGAAAGACCCTCATGTAGGTAGTTCAACCTGGCCCGGAGCTCACCATGTAGACCAAGCTAGCTTCCAATTCAGATAACAACCTGCCTCCGTCTCCCAACCGCTGAGATTAAAGGCATTCGCCACCACAACCGATGAGGATTGTTTAATTTTGTGTTTTGAGACATGGTCTCACTAAGCAGCCTTGGCTGGCCTGGAACTTATAATATAGACTAGGCTACCCTTGAACTCAACAGGTCCACCTGCTTCTGCCTCCTAAGTGCAGTTATTAAAGGCCTGTACTCGACCACACCCGGTGAGAATATTTTTTTAAAAGAGGTCAGGCCTCCAATCTTCCAAGACTGCATATCAGGACCCTGCTCTCCCCATTTGTTCTCCAGCCTCCGGTCACCTACACTAGTTTTCCTGATCTTCTGAAATAGGCCCTGATGTTTCGGTTTTCTGGGTGAAGAAGCAGAGATTGAAAGGAGGCCCTGTGTGCCCTCACCCACTCTCTGGCTCCTTTCAGGAACGGTTCAGCATGTTAGTGGGAGCCAGTTTGCCATCCGCTGCTAGGTGCTGCTTAGGAGCAATGATAAATGCATAGAAGGGAAAACTCTTCAGGTCATTGGGGCGCCTGGAACTTAAAACAGCAGTGGTTTAGGATGTTCGGAAGCACAGCATTTAGTTTGCAGGAGTCCAGCCCAGGTTAGATCTTAAGCAAAAAAAAAAAAAGTACTTGGAGTGTTCTCATGATAACAGTGTTCAGGAAGATGGTTTGAAAAGATGAGCTAGAGAGGTGGGAAGAGTCTGGAGGGGTTTTTTGTTTTGTTTTGTTTTTCCTTGAGGCGGAGTCTCATTCATCCTGGGCTGGCCTCAAACCTTCCCTGTGTGGCTGAGAATGCTCATCAGCTTGTGAATCTCAGTACCTCCCCATATTGGGATTGCAGGCATGAACCTGATTTCAGATGTGAGTTTATGAAGGTGTGCACCTTGGATCGAAGTGGGGAACTGATAAATTCACAATAGCAACCTGGGAGCCAGGTCTCCTGAGTTCACCCTTTGATACCTGACAGCTTACCACACCTTAGCAAGTCAAGCTTCATGCTCTACTCTGTACAAGAAAGGTAATACCCACCTTATAGGGTTGCTATGACAGTAGAGTTATACAGTTCATATTTACTTCAGACCTCCTCCCCCACCCCCAGCGCTTTCTCTGCTACCCCACTGCAGCTTCAGCCCATTATTTCACTTATGGTTTTCTTCATATAAGAATAGCCTTTTGGAAAATCTGGTTTTTCGGGGCTGTGGACGAAGCTTGTCTAAGGTACAGAAGGGTTAAGAGAGGTTAATGGTCTGGGTGGTGGTGGTGCATACCTTTAGTCACTTGGATCTCTATGAGTTCGAGGCCAGCTTGGTTTACAGAGCAAGTTTCAGGACAGCCAAGGCTATGTAGAGAAACCCAGTCTCAAAAAACCAGAGGGGAGGGTTAATAAAGGAGAAATATGATCAGAAGCACGTTATATATGGCATTATGAAAGAATAAATATTTTTCCATAAAACTTTTTTTTGATTTGTTTTATTTTGTTGGAGACAGGGTTTGTCTGTGTAGCCTTGGCTGTTCTGGACTTGCTTTGTAGACCAGGCTGGCCTCTAACTCACAGAGATCCTACTGTGTCCACCTCCCAGTGCTTCGATTAAAGGTGTGTGCCACCACACCCAGGTCATAAAGATTTTAAGCTACTAGCCCCCATTTTAAAGGCACCGAGCAGGATTATCTCGTTATAGGTTATAATGTTGGTTTTTTGAGAGAGCTATCAAAATGTTGCAGGCTCAGACCCTAGAAAACCTGGATGGGGACTTAGTGCTGTGAGTGGTACACAGGCTTTGGAATCAGAAGACCCAGCCCCATAACTGCTGAACTCTGCCTTCAGGTCCCTCCCCAAAGTAAAGCTAGTATTGAGAAGCCTGAGCTATTAGTGATAATCAGTAAGAGGGTATTTGGAAAAGTGGAAGTCCTCCATAAGCTTTATGAATTACTATTTTTACCTTTAATTGTATTTATTTAGTGTGTGTGAAAGTTAGGAAGCCACTTTTGGGAATCAGTCCTCTCTACCATGTGAGACCTGAGGATTGAACTCAGGTTGTCAGGCTTGGCAGCAAATTCCTTTACCTACAAAGCCATCTTGCTGGCCCATTAATTAATGTTACAGTTATTTTTACAAGATGCATAAGAGGACAGATCCAAAGAACTACGGGAGGCTCGGTGGCACTTTTTTTTATCATGTATGAGGACTTTTATGGACTTTATCTAGCACTCCAGACAACAAACCAAAACCAAACAGCAGTGCAGGTGATTTGGAGAAAATGATGGGATAGCACCAAGTCCATGTTCTGGTTTAAACCATAACATACTGAGGAAATAAATTAAAACATTTCTCTAAATGTTTCCTCCGAGCACAGGTGAGTAGCCGGCTGCATCTCCACTTCGCCAGGAAACCACTAAAGCTCCTTTGGGATCAAAGTTTATAAGAACATGATGGATGGAGAGGACAAAACTGAAGGCCCTGACATCATGTGTTTATTATAAAAAAAGAGAAGATACTCTTACATCAGGAACAGTAAAGGCCATGCTTAGTGAACCACGTTAGTTTGCTGAGAATGCAACCAATGAAGTCAGTTTTAGAGAGGTCCCTTCACACATGCTCTCTAAAGTACCCATGTATTTTTACTTATAATGTCTACCACATTAGCAGCACTGAGATTACAGAATCCCAGCTGCGCTGGAACTGCTTGTACTGTGAACTTCTTAGATTGTTAAATAAATTATAATAAACTTCATTTTTTTTTCAGTATTAATATTTTTTTTTTAATTTGCCTAGCATGGTAGTTCACGTCTTTAATTTCATTTGGGAAACAGGCGGATGGAGTCTTAGGCCAGCTTGGGCTACATAATGAGACCTTGTCTCAAAAAAGAAAGGAAGGAAGGAGGGAGGGAAGGAGAAAAAAAAAATTAAAGCTGAGAAAAGGGAAATGATAGCATATCTCTACAGACATTTAACGTGTAGGGAAATTGAGGAGCTTTGCACCATGACACGCTTCTATTATCTCATTTCTGGGAAAGCTGAGGCAGGAGGATGCATGAGTTCAAGATAGGCCTGGGCTTGATGCTGCCAGATTGATCTGGTTACATAGCAAGACCCTATCTCAAAAAGAAAATAAAACGGGGGCCAGAGACACTAAAAGTTTATTTTCTGGGACTGGAAAGATGGCTTAGCTGTTAACAAAATTGGCTGTTCTTCCAGAGGACTCAGGTTCAATTCCCAGCACCCACATGGCCGCTTACAACTTTCTGTAATTCCAGTTCCATGAAATATGACACCTGCACATACATACTGTATTACACAGACACTTGGGTAAACACAATAAATACAAAATAAAAATAATTTTTTTTAAATTTTCTGAGGGCACCCATCTAATGAACGGCATGATCAGAACGACAAAATATCCAAGCACCGACTAGGTTCTTAATTTATCAAGTGCGCTCTAAGCTCAAAGTATTTTGCTGTAGGGACTTGCAAAATCATTACACTGAAGCAGAGAAAGAGTTATGCTATCTGTAACTTGTTGCTTTATAGCAAGTTTCTCAGAATCCCCATCTATTTTAAAATCTGGTAAACTGGATGATTTGGCATCTGCCTCAGGGAATCTGTACTGTTGTTTGCAAACTTGTTGAAGTGAGGAAAAAAAATAAAGGTGAGAGTTAGAAAGTTGAAAAATACTGATAATATACTTTTATCTGGAAAGGAAAAAAAATCACAGCATGTTTCCTCTGAAAATTTGGAACTACTTACATTCTCTCAATTCTCTCACTTTTTGTGGTATAGAAAACAGGAAGTCGCTATTATCCCCATTTTACTAACAACACAAGAAAGGATTCTTTTAAACAGTGCCTATTCAGCCAAGAACACACCCCACACAATTTATAAT